TTCATGCATTACCGTTTCGCGCATTAGTTACTTCCTTCGTCGTATAAGCCATGAAGTTAAATGACAAATTTATGTATATTACGCGTCTTTATGAGTATTTAAATGCTTGCAATTTTGTAAAAATATAATAATTATCCTAAGATCTTAAAATTTGCGTCTAATAGATAAACAAATTATAGAGCAGTCAATCTTAACGTATGTATCTTGACGTATAAATGCCACCAACAGCGAGCCAAATATACAATAATTCATTTCTAAATGTAGTTCCAATATTTACTTTACATTTATTGCGAGAGGAAGAAGCAAAAGCACCGCAAAATGCACGCGCAAAACTTCATTAATAAATATTAATTGACACGTTTGAAAAAGTATTTTGGTTTCAATTGAGTTTTGCTTGATTTTAGTTGGTTTACCCGAATTAATGAAAAGCAGACTCGTATCCTAATTTCAGCAGCCACTTTCATTCCTTCGATTCCTCGAGTCGCGTATCGCGAGCTTCGTGGATTGAGAGGTCCACGCGGTCAAGTTGCGCACCGTGTCGTGGGGGTGACATACGCGCGTATAGATACAAGTACGGTAAGTAATCGTTACCGTAGCTACCGGTATAACCGGCGTTGAAATTAACGCAACGACCGACGCTTTGTTGGTCGCTAACGTGCGTACGATGCACACGCACGCAGCCAGATCTTGTATGCACGCACGTATGCACGCACGCATGCACGTACGCACGCAACCGGCTGACCAGCCGGCAGTCTTCTATTATTTTGCGCGTCAACACCGACCGCGAGTTTGCGGATATAGTTTGGGGATCGCGTTACGCGGTGTCCGCAACAAATACGCGTTGAATCTCGCGCGTCGAATTCGCACGCGGTCGATGTAATAAGATTCTTCTGCTATTTATGACCTCATCTGTCCCCATCTTCGCATTTTCCACAACGTTTGTCCCTAAAATAATCGGATCTTTAACGGTAAAAGGGAATTGTAGCGGCTCTTCTACAAAACTTACGGTAGGGCAGGATTGTTTGCGTCACTTAAGCTTCAACGTTTTAACGTGCGGTCTTGATGCTAACGAAAACTAAGAATATTAACGTTTAACCAACTTCTTCGTTTTTAACAAATAGAAGTTAAATATTCTCGTAGAAAAAATGGTCGTTGAGTTGCTAATATAAGCGATATGTGTCAGTGTTTATCACCTGACGGCCGAATATATAACCTGTTTTCTTATGTAGATGAAAGACAGCTCATAACATAATTTGGCAAATTACTCTGCCGAGGAATAATAGAGTCCTCTTCGTTTCTTACAATTATTCAAAGCTTTACGATAACGGAGTCATTAGAATTGCAGATATAATAGATAAAACGAGGATCATTTTTGTTCATCGAAAGTTCGATAAAAAATGTGCTAGGTGAACTCGTGTGACGCTTATGCTTCTAGGTGAATCTGAAAGATTTTAATAACTAGATTGTAACGTGTATATTTTTCTTTTTTTTTTTTTTTTTGTGATACCGTCGTTCGCTTGCATAGGTTTTTGACATTTTACCTATATTTTGACATTTTAAACCTATAATACTTCGGCAATCCTTGACTTTAATCCAATATTGGTATCGTCGTTCATTTTGCGTTTAACGTCTCTCAAAGTTGGTTTCGATTTTATGTAGTACGAAGTTTCAAAAGCCGACATTCCTTGAAACGACTAAAGACGCAAAGCTTGTGGAACGTCCTGTAGCGTTACATGCTATAGCCATCGCGTTACGTGAGTAAGATGATTCGAAACAAGGTTATTGGCTCTGCGAACGCAGCTGCCGCCTGCTTGTGTTGCTGCAGCTTCTCCAGCAACCGTCGCACCGCACAGTTCTCTCAATCCTTCTTTGTCTTTACTTTCGTCTACCCATTCATCCATTTTTTTCTCCACTAATCTTCCTCTTACACGAATCAGTCTGCCGAAATAAGCAACGTAATGATGCGACCATCGGAAAATCCAGGCGGCTTGATAGATCGGTTCGCGATACATACTTTATCGTCTCTAATGTCGCTTCAATTGGTCTCGAATCGAAGTTGTTGGCAGGGAAGATATTTCTACGCTCGTAACGTCGCGTTATTCCAGCTCGTGAATCGGGGACTGGTTTTAATTGATAGATAAACTCGAGAAGCATCGACGCGTGATGCTCGAAATTTCCTTCGACGTTGAGATATTTCATTGGTTGAAGTTTCGCATCGAGTTTGGATGAGACTGGGAATAGTGGGAATGCTCGATCGAATTCCAAGCGACTCGGCTGCTGGCGGTGACTGTACCCGAAGTTTGCGGGCCCGCCGAAGTGAGGTGTGTACCTACTCGCCAGGTACACTCTGCTTGCAGTCGTGGTAGGTCAGTATACCCTGGGCAGAAGTATTCGAAGCAGCAACGTTCAACGTCCAACCGAGCAAGCAGCCAACCAGCCGGCGCGCCGAGGGACAAAGAGCGGCCGCC